AGAGAAATGAATTCATCAAGTGATGAAGTCAGTGCTGAAGCTGTTCCATGAAGAATTAGAGAATCCTCAGCTCTACTAGTGTGCAGTCATCATATAATGATAAACAACTGCTTTAAAAAGCAATGGATACCATACTTCTTAAAATAAAGAAATGCTGTAGAATTTCAAATATATTACAGTGGCCTTTAGGTGAATAAAATCTTGTTGCATTGGTACAAAGAGACACTCCCTATTTTCCATGCTAGCACATTTCTAGCACAGTCTCTTAGGATTTATTTTTTTGGTACAGGCTCAGTAATGTTTCGGAGAAGGCAATAGCAACCCACTCCAGTACTCTTGCCTGGAAAATCCCATGGACGGAGGAGCCTGGTAGGCTGCAGTCCATGGGGTTGCTACGAGTCGGACACGACTGAGCGACTTCAGTTTCACTTTTCACTTTCATGCATTGGAGAAGGAAATGGCAACCCACTCCAGTGTTCTTGCCTGGAGAATCCCAGGGATGGGCGAGCCTGGTGGACTGCCGTCTATGTGGTAGCACAGAGTCGGACACGACTGAAGTGACTTAGCAGCAGCAGCAGCAGCAGCAATAATGTTTACCACGTGCTTATGAAATTGCAGAATAGGTTCAAGTCAGAATGATGACAGTATAAACAGGGCTGGGCCAATAATAATTTTATGTAAAGTATGCATGATTTTCCATCAGGTGTCAAGAATTCAGGGCTTCCCAGGTGGCTCAGTGGTAAAGACTCTGCCTGTCAACTCAGGAGACTCAAGTTTGACCTCTGGGTTGAGAGGATCCCCAGAAGAAGGAAAGGGCTATCTACTCCAATATTCTTGCCTTAGAAATCCCGTGGACAGAAGAGACTGGCAGGCTACAGTCCATAGGGTCGCCAAAAAGTCATACAGGACTCAGTGACTAAACAACAGCATTAAGAATTTAAGTTGGCTAATTGATTGCATATGGTAATAACACTATTTATTGTAAGGCAAATACATCTGCTTTATGTACCCAGACTTGATGAAATTGGAGGATCCTAGAAACTAGCTTCAGGATACATTTTTTTTGGATAAGGGACCTATTGCCACCTCCTTATGGCCACTATAGTTTAAGTAAAATTATTTTGAAAATAAACTGAATCTTTGGGACCCTTCCACTTCCTTTTTCTTTTCTTGATTTCTCCAGTACTTTCTAAAGACTCCTAAATCACACAGATATTTCCTTTAATATACCATACAATTACCAGGCCTATAATCAGTAGTTATTCTCTAATTATTTGACTTTTCTCCATGCTTAAGTTCCTTTCTGGTCTTAATTTTTAGATGTGAGTAGAATCAATTAATTCTATTACTTCCTTAGACTAGGAAACTTAAGACCTAGTGATAGTTATTACTTATAGGTGATAGATGTACTTATAGATGATAGATTACTTATAGATGATAGATGATAGATTACTTATAGAGAATAGATGCTATTTTTTGTTTGTTTGTTTTTTAGGAAGAGAATTTGGCATGAAATACCACAAATTCTGAAGGAAATTGTAAACAATTGAAATGAAAAAGGAAACTATAGGTTTTTTAGCTAGTATGTTTTCAGATTATTTTTCTGTATCACAATGCAGTATTTCCAATTCTGATCTATTTTTGACTAGATTTAAAATGACTTCTTATAGAAATTCATTCCATGTATTTATAAGATAGACACTAGCCAGGTTCATTTTTTCTATGGTAATATAAAGTCAAGCTGTTTGATGAAAATGACAGTTTACTTACTTGTTGAGATATAACTCATATGGGAATAATTGCTTTGAGAACACTTTGAGTACAGAATGCCTTAAAAGTGTTCTTGTATTTACAGACATGTCCTTCATTGCAACACATTCTACTAATATAAAATGAAAACACACAACTGAATCATCATGATCCATTGACATTCATTTTTTTCACTAGAGCAGAATTTACTATGATAAATAATGATAGAGAAATATTTATTTTAATTTGCAATAATAAAGTTTTACATTAGGAAGACTGCATGTAAATCAGAGCCACTTTCTAGGAAGCAGGTAAAATGCAACTTTAAAATAATAGGTTTACATAAGTCCAGAAATATTTAATTTGGAAAGCATTTAACTAGAGATTGTGAAGGATCAACATGAGGGAAAAAAACAACTAGGACAAATCTTGTCCTCAGGTTCTCACTTTCAAATCCCAGTGGTGAAGCCAATGGAAAGTTTATGGAAATATTTGAAAGGCATATTTGACCTAGTTCAAAAGCTTTATTAAGTTAGTATTTTAATACATTGTCCTAGTTAAGTCTTGTCTTTATGGTCTTTTTAACATTGCTTCACCCAGGGTTCATTCATAGCTTACTTAGAAACCACAGAAATGAGAATAGGCTCCTGTTAAGGAGAGCTTCAACCTTTTAATTTCAAAGGTACCTTGACTTCCTAAACTTCTCCACCTTAATACTGAGAAAAGGACTTCTGTAAAGAAATTCATGGGTGCAAGGTAAGCTTTGTGTTTTTTTAATACTCATAATAGGTAAGTATATACAGCTGTAAATATATAAACTGACATTATTTGTGTGTGTTTGTATGTGTTGTCGCTCAGTCATGTCCGATTCTTTGTAGCCCACCAGACTTCCCTGTCCATGGGATCTCCCAGGCAAGAATATTGGAGTGGGTTGCCGTTTCATTCCCCAGGGGATCTTCCCAACCCAGGGATCAAACCCACATCTCCTGTGTCTCCTGCATTGCAGGTGAATTCCTCACCTGCTGCACCATCGGGGAATGCCATGAATACTATTATAAGTTTTATTTTAAAACAGTGAGCATATAAACATCATTGTAGCTGCTTCTTACATTACATGGATGAAGTCAGGAAACCTCTAACTTCCCGTGATATCTGTTTACAAAGCCTCTATTTTGGTCTGGTACTGGCTAAGATACCCAGCTATGTATCTTATCAGTGGTACCAGGTTTGGTTGCTGGAAATACAGGAAAATGGTTTCACTGTATTCTGAAATACAGTGATGGTTTCTGCAAAACATCATTCCATGACATCATGGAGTCTGTTATCAGAGAAACTTGATTTCCTCAAAGAGGTGTACCTTGCTAAATAACCACCATCAGGTTTTTTCAGACCTATCTTTGCAGCTGGGTCAAGGAGGCTTCCAGGAGACATCTGCTAAGAGAACAAGGAGCCAGTGAGACATTCTCTGCTCAAACTTGAACCTGTCCTTGGAAGGAGAATTCTGACCATAGACTCTGGAGCCAGATGGAACCGTATCGCATCCCTGCTCCATCACTTACTAGCTCTGTTACCTACTTAATTTAACCTCTCTGGGCCTGATTTACCTCACACCCAAGAAACAGACACCACAAGGATTCTGGTCAGAATTTAAGAGTTCAAGTATCTTGAGCATTGTCTGCTCAGCTCATTTCTCATTATACTTTTATATTAAGCTCTTTCACTTAGATTTGTCTCTTAGTCCAGCTCTGCACCCCGCTCCACCCAATGAAGTAATGGTTAAGGGATTTGGATGAGAGAAAGGGTGGGTGAAGGCAGAAGAAGATGCCATGAGATAAAAACTGAACAAGCTGCTTCAGCACAAACACTGGTGAGCTCTGCTACCCTGCTCTGTCTTGATAATTATCTAATATAATTTCACAAAAAGGAGAGAGAGGCCTTCTCATTATGCAGTGCGACCCTCCCGTGGGCTTCTGTGAATCCAGAAGAGGCGGGTGAGGCCAAGGATCTGCCAGTGCGGGGTGGCAGAACTGGAGAAGAGGAATAAAAGCAGGTGCACTCTGCAACCGTGACTCTGGTTCCTCGGCCCTCTTAAGGCACGCCCAGGCGGTGCTCTGAAACACGGTCAAGAATTGGGGGGGAAGTGTTCAGCAGTTACCAGAAATGTATCAAATCACTGAACAGGTCCGGCTTCTCTGTTGCCTTAGGCATTGTGTTGGCGACTGCGGCACAAAGATGATGATGACGATGTGCCTAATCTCAAGCTCCTATCTGGCTCATCCAGGGACCCAGATATTCTTAAAACCACGTGCGGTCAGAAGCAGCTGAAGGCCTAGACTACCTGCCCCTGCATGGCGGGACCCAGGGTGGGGACATCAAGGGAGTGGGATGAAGACGTCAGTCCTGCGGAGAGAGATTTCAGATAGAGGGTGCGGAGCAGAGCAAGGAAATGAACTTTTTGCTTTACATTTGCACCTCTTAACTAAGATCTTCTGAAAACGCTGATGGCACAAACGGAGTGACGTCCTGCTTTAAAACCAACTACGTACGGCTTAAGCATTTAGCTAGTTCTAACATCACCATTTCAGAAATGTCGTAATACTGACAAATAGTTTTTTCGCAAGAAGGGACGTTGCCTCACTTAGCTCTCTGTGTGCACAGGGAAGTGGGACACGAACAAAATTCTCGGCGAAACGCCGAGAGGGTGAACTATAGTCCAGACGCTGCACACGTGTCGCCCGCCCCGCCCCATCCCCATTGTACAGGGTCCGCCAAAGCTCGCGAGAGTCTCTTGCCTTCCACGTCTGCCACGTTCCAAAGGACCAGGACAGACTGGAAAGTCGAAAGCTGCTGGCTCTCACAGGCCGCAGCGTCGCGCCAGAGCAGCCCTAAGCCTGCAGCGGGGCGGGGAAACGCGGCACTGTTACGCCCCCTCACAGAGACCCTTGTGACTGGCTGTATACCCCGTCGCTCAGTCTTCTGTGGGCGGGGAGGGGTGGGGCTCGCCTGACGGGGGCGTGGCCTCAGGGCGGGTGAGCGGCGCGCTCTCGCGCCGGGAGGGCAGTCACCAGCTCGGAGCACGCGAGGGCCGAGCGCGCGCCGGAGGCACGCGGGCGAAAAGTCCTGGGAGGCGCTGCGGGCGGTGCCGAGACACCCGTGCAGCTTCTGGAGCCGCAGCCCGCACCCGCTGCAGCGCCTGCGCCCCCCGCGGCCAGAGGGAGCCCCCACCCTTGCCTGCTCCAGCGGTGCGCGCGATGGCCCCGCGCAAGAATGCCAAGGGCGGCGGCGGCAACAGCAGCAGCAGCAGCTCTGGTAGTCCGACCGGCTGCACCAGCGGCGGCAGCAGCAGCCCCGGGGCCCGGAGAGGTCAGAGGCGCTCCGGAGTCGGGGTCCGGGGTGGCCCCGAGGATGGGGCTCCGTTGGGGGGAGGCGTGGGCGCTGCGGGTCCACCTCCCCAGATGCCGCCGAGCGGCTCCTCCATCCTCCGTCTGTGTCCTTCTCGGGCGGTGGGCGGAGGCCGTGCTCGGTGGGCCTGGCGGGTGGGCTGGAGGGGCTGGGCCGAGCTGGGAGCCCCTTCCCGGCCGATCCCTCACCTTGCAGTGCGCAGCCGAGATGGAGATTGTGTCGATCCACTCCTTCTTGGCTCGCCGTGGAATTGAAGATAGGCGTAAGAGAAACAGCTTACCTTGGCCGTGCATATTTTGGAGAGTTTGGAAATGAGCCAAAGTCAGAAAATAAGTTCTTGCCAAACCAGCAGCTTTTAAGTGCAGCTCAAAGGAGAATAAGGCTTCTGGGATGTGTGTGCGGGGCAGGGGAGAGGGGAGTGATTTGAATATTCTTGAAGATTATTTTAAATATTTTTGCCTTTATGTAGCTTTCTTATCGTGTATTGTAGTTGCCTTTAAATATCACAGAATACCATAAATACTGGGCGAGCTTCTCTATTTTTTCCCCTTTGTCTTCTCTTAAAAAAAAAAAAAGATATTCACCTTTCTCCTCCTGTGCTTATCCCTCAAAGAGAGAGAGAGAGAGCAGATGTTTTAAATCTGTTTCATCTCATATTTCAGTGGTTCTCGTTTCTATTATACTTCCTTTGACTCATATTTAGGATATTAAAACTGCAATCCACATGTGTATTGAAACTGAGCTGTAAACTTTCCCTTTTAAAATGATTCTAGATTCTTTGTTTCCTGAGGTCTGCAAGGAATGTATTTACTTGTATCAAAAAAGTAAATCAGAAGACTATAGTCATCCTTTAAAGAGCTGTTTTTTAAATAGCACTTACACTATCTGAAATTATTTGTTTTCATGTGTATTGCCTTCCTGTCTCATTCATTCCCTCTGGTTGATTCCTTTTCCCAACTCTTTGAGTCTGGCCATTAATAGATGCTCAATAAAAAATTATTTGATGAGTGAATGAATTTAAATAGTTAAAGTTAAATGATGAAAATAGTGCAGTTGAAATAATTAAATAAATTTACACTCTGAGAACTAATATTTTGTATTGTAGAGAAAAAAGAGTTTGAATTCCATAGAAAACATAACAATTCACCTTTGGCATAAGTAAACTTTGTGTTCCTTTGTCACTTGACCTTAAATGCCAGTCAGTTGACTTAAAGAGGCAGAAGCGTAGATGAAGGAAGGGCTCTGGCTACACTTTTAAAAATATCTAAATGAGAAGAACTCATGCAACTTAAGCTCCAAGTAGAGAAAGCTGATGAACAACACTTTAATGTTGTTTTCAAAAGTTTTTGTATCCATTTACAAGCAAAGCACATCATCTTTGTTCCACTTTGCCTTTTGCAGTTCTGGGTAGAGAGGTTTGATTATATCTGAAGCAGTTGTTTTATTAAATGCCCCGTTGTTGGTGAGAATTAGCATCTAAAGTGTGTATTGTATCCCCATCCCCAGTGGTTCAAGATCCGAATCAGTTTGAACAGGTAGGTGATACATATAGGAAATGTTAGGATCAAAATGAACACATTCCAACTTTGATATTCCAGCCTTTTAGAGCAAGTTCCATCCTATTTGAGGATCTACAGCCTTTTAAGCATTTTACACATTGATCCTGTAATGGTTGTGAAACAGACATAGTGTGTAAAAGAGAATGTGGAAGTGAGAAAGATACCTGTATTACCAGAAAAATCTCCACAGAGAGTTGACATTGGAGTCTCGCTTGTTACATAACGAGCATTCTTTTTCCGCAGCTGTGTTTTTTTCAGTCGGTGATCAGTTCTGACTGTGCCACGTGGAAGGCAGAGGCGAAGAAAGGAGGTTTCTCTCTGTTGTAAGCAGTTGCGCTGCAGTGTGAATGTGTGATCCTGTTTGTACTGCTTCCTTATAGCAGAGGATACTGGAAAGATGGAGCCACTTCTGTTAGGTTGCTGTCGTTGATGTGTACACACTGATGCCCAAGTCAGTACCACGTGCTGGGGAAATCACAGAAACTGGAGTCTTGGCTGCGGCCTTACCATGAGGCCTGGAAAGATTGTCTGACTCCTTAAAGGTTATATACTTCTTGGAAACCCAACTGATTATTGGATGATCCAAGACTAAAACCAGGTTTTCTCTTATTCATTTGAACATTGTGCTGGATTTTTGTTGTGCTGTGGCTAAGTTGTGTCTGACTCTTTGCGACCCCATGGACTGCAGCATGCCAGGCCTCGCTGCCCCTCACCATCTCCTGGATTTTAGGTTCTCTAATTTGGAAGATTTTATGGGAATCTTGGAGTCGAAGTTGATGCATATTATACCTGGTTTTTAAAAGAAAAATATGCTTCCTATCATATCACCAGTTAACTTTTCTTTTGACTAAAATTGTGTTTGAAACAGCATGTTTGAAAATCTTAGTTTTAGAGGAAGTACATGGGCTCAACTAATGTTTTTTTGAGTTGTTTTGCATTGAGATTCTGAAGGAGATGATGACACTAGTCACATTAAGCATTATTATTTCTAACATTTGTGTGTGAAAGTGGAGTGGAAAAGGACCCAGTCCTTTGCAACATGCATTTTAGGGAAAATGTGATTATCTGGCCTTTTGTTGATCTTGGTGGTCATTTTTTTCAAAAGTGGTGTTTTGAAACTGAAACTTGGAGGTTTATATAAAAGTTAGATTTTTAAAGCAGGTGTCTGTTTTTTATTTAAGCCTTCAACTTAAATTGAAAACTGAGAAAATGCTTAACTTTTGGCAGAGCTCAAGTTTGCCTTTTCCAGCTTTATTCTTTAAAATATGAAAAAAGCATGAGTAAATTGAACATATTGCCTGTGTGTGTGTGTGTGTGTGTTTGTGCTCAGTCATGTCTGACTCTTTGCAACCCTATAGACTGTGGCCTGGCAGGTTCCTCTGTCCTTGGAATTTTCCAGGCAAGAATAGTGGAGTGGGTTGCCATTTCCTACTCCAGGGATCTTCCCGAACAAGGGATCAAACCCATGATTCTCTGAGCCTCCTGCATTGCAGGCGGATTATTTACCACTGCACCGCCGGGAAAGTTACCTTACCTTTAACTCACACATAAAAAACTGACTTGCTTGACCAACTGGGGCCAAGAGAAACCTCTTTCAGATTTATTGATTTGACGATCTTTGATCAAGAGGGATCATGATGTGCTTTTAGATTTATGCTGTAGTTGCAGACCTTGGTATATATATTGTTTTTGTTTAGATTTTCCCTTTGCAATGTCATTCAGTCTTTCCCTGTAGCTTCTAACTTGCTAGGGGATGTAAACGTTTCCTTTGTCTAATAATGTTGTGCCGCCACATCACACTTCACCAGTAGGTGTCACTGTAGAACACTTCTTCTTTCAATTTTAAGTTTCAGATGTAACATCTACTTGTTTTTTAAACTTAACAAGCCCCATACATACTCAGAACCATTGATGGACAACTACTTAAAAATGCTCAGCCAGTGCTATTTAATTCTGTCACAATCCCTAACAGCAGGTTTTGAAATTTAGTAGTAATATTCAGTCCCTAGCAGTCTTATTTATTTAGGCTGATTGTATTTAGAATTAAATGCATTGATGAACTAACTATCTTTAAAATTATACATTTGCACATGTTTGATTTAGATGAGTGTTAATCATTTAGAATTTTTTTCTTCCTTATTACTTTCAATATATCTTAGACTGCTTAGTAATTAACAGACATGATACATTGCTGCTTGTCCTCTGACTCTATTGAATGAGGAGGCCTTGGTGAAATTCCTTTCCTTTAATCGTTTTGTGCCAGTTACTTAATCCTTTGTGAGTCAGTCTAGAATGAAAAGATAGGAAGGCCATAATTCTTCCACCAGAGGAACTGTGTGCTGTTTTGTGTTCAATTGAACAGCATTTTCAACTGGCCAGATTGTATGAAAAATGAGTGTTAGTCGCTCAGTTGTGTTCGACTCTGAGACCCCATGGTGGGTCTTCTCTGTCCCTGGAATTCTCCAGGCAAGAACACTGGAGTGGGTAGCTATTCCCTTATCCAGGGTATCTTCCCAACCCAGGGATTGAACCGGGTCTCCTACATTGGCAGGCAGATTCTTTACTGTCTAAGCCACCAGGGCAGCCCAGATTGTGTGGAACCTAGTGCTAAAAAGTATTCGGAGGGAATTCTTGAACACATTTCATTATTATTATTATTTTTAAACATAGTTACCTTTTTTAAAAAAAGTCTTTATTGAATTTATTACAGTATTGTTTCTTTCTTTCTTTTTTAATGTTTTAGTTTTTTTGGCCACAAGGTATGTGGGATGTTATCTCCCTGACCAGGGATCAAACCTGCAACCCCTCTACTGGTAGGTGAAGTCTTAACCACTGGACCACCAGGGAAGTCCCTTGCACACAATTTTAAAAAGACCAAACATTAACCTGGGTTCGGAAGTAAAAGGAGAGATCTATACTTTAGCTTTGCTTTAAAATCACGTGTCTCAGAGAGATTACTGGACAATGAGAGATTCTCATTTTCAGCTGATTGGCAACAAGGTAGCTTGGATTAAGAATCATGTGAGCTTTCCACTCTAGTTAGTATTGGAAATTTAACCTCTAATTTCTTTGGTCCCAGTAGAATATCTACCTCCCACCCTTGATCCCCCCTCCAGAAAGACATTGTAGTTCGGGAAAATCCGATGACCTAGATTCATACCCATTTAAGAACTGTGTAACAGGTCACTCAAATTTTCTAATCCTGGTCTCAAATGGAAAGAATTATTCAGAGTTCTGACAGCCCTAAAATCAATTTTATATGCTTTTCTGTTGCTCAGATTTTTCACTGAAGTACCTGTAATGGTAAAGTGGAGTGGGTTGCTCCACTTTGGAGAATAGATAAGGCTGTAGAACTAAGCAGGCTATTGCATGCTTGAAAAATTTATGATTTAAGAAATGAGT